TAGGGGATGTCACACGTGAGTCCTGTGCTTCCGGTAGTATAGGCCTCTACTACCATTCACACCTACTCATACTCATCCCAAGTATTGTCTCGCAGCTTTCCAAGTTACTATCACAAAAACAATTTTAACACGTATAAATGTGTCCAATCAATCATAAAATTTTCCCTAGACTCTACTAGGACTTCTTCCATGCGTATCTTCAATCATCAATTCTACTTCAACTCGGTTGGTGATGGAAATGTCAGACGATGGGATAACTTCATGGATTGTACCAAAAATCTTTCTTTATGCAAATCTAAAGTTTACTTCTCCCGTACTAGACGTATTATTTATTAGATGCATTCTAAAGGCAAGATATCACTCTTATGATATCTTCCGATAAGTATCATTCAGTATCGTAAGCCTTCTCATTTCCTCCATTTACTCAATTCACTACAAGTCTTCACCATGATGTTCTGTACACCAAAGCAATCGTTTGGTGTATTAAGACGAGAATAAAGATAGAGGAAGGTTTAGACGCGTATTCCTCCTTATTACCTCGAAAAATTATATGCCCGTTCTAATATCGTAATTAAACGTTTAGAAATCTGAACACATAAAATTTCCAGATCCGGTAGGCAACAGACCATAGATCCGATCATATAATGCATATCATAAACCATTTAGCACATAAAAGCATGTTAGGAAATTTCCTAAATAAGCTAGTGCTTGTGTCTATTCAGGTGTATTACCTAAAATTTATTAGACACGCTCCTCACCATCATTTCCTAGCATTATAAGTTTAAGTCTAGAAATAAATTCTTATTCCTAGTTCGCTTAAACTAATGCTCTGATACCAACTGTGACATCCTCATTTTCACGGCCAGAAAAGACCGGTTTTCTTTATGCTTTATAAAAATCAGAGTACCTCTTTTTAATAAAAATGTTGTGGAATTTGTTCCCAGTAAAACATGATAAATACGTTATCAAAGCATTTCCGAAGAGAAGTATTTTTATTCATTTTAAAACATTTGGGATGTCATCGTCAATACAGAAACATAAGCATAAACAGAACTTACATTCATTACCACTAGTGATTTATATCTCCTTAATCTCTCAGTGTAATGTGACTTCATATCAACACATGTGATATAAATAAACTGAGTGGGTCAAGTTGGGAAACCTGGTGAGTACATAGGGTTTTCAACCCACAATAATATAATTATTATGTTTAAACATCAAACAATCAACCCAATTACCCATCCCCATTATCTTCTTAAGGATTTACCCTAAGAATCAGCTACTCCTCGTTCATTCATTCCTAAGGATCATCCTAAGGAAACGGCACGAAATCCATCGTTGCCAATGACACAGTTGTCAAGCACAGCTGCTAATTGTGACATTCTCTATGAGGCGCTTCTGCCGGTATTGTCCTTTAAACGCTACTGTCATGGTTATAATGTTCTCTATTAGGCGCAACTGCCGATACTATCCTTAGAGCGCAGCTGCTGGGATGTTTACCGTAGATCAACAACATCTACAGGTTGTGGCGCAGCTGCCAATGCTCATCTATAGGGTACTAGGTCCATTGCTGCCAATGTTCACCTATAGGGCACTATGTCCATACTGCCAATGTTCCTCTATATCAGCTTTCATCCCTCATCATTCATCTACCCATGTTTTACCCAACATATTTTGTAGATATAAAATACATATACAGTTTAAATCATTTAAAACATGTATAAAATCGTTCATCCAACATAGATAACAAGTATACAGATAATATGCACACATAGCACGTAATTTATATAAAATACTTCATAACTATGTGTAAGATGAAAGTAACTATGCACTCACTTGATAAGGTGGTGACTCGGTACTCGGACAGCGCTTCGTTTACTTTAAAATAATTTCCTTCGACGAAACCTAGTATTATTACCACTAGATTTTAGTCTAATATTTACCGTGAATAATCATTAGTCTTATTATTATTATTATTATTATTATTATTATTATTATTATTATTATTATTATTATTATATAAGCGTTTAAACAATATTTTCCAACCACTATGTACAGACAGGGGTCAGACATAAAACACTGGAGGGCAGGACCATTTTGGCGTATAGCACTTCTGAAATCCAACAACCCTATGCGGCCCTTTAAACCAGATTCCCCGTACCGCGAGTAGTTAAAAAGATATTATAACGACACTTAGATAAGTCATAATAATAGCCCAAATATTTATTATAAGTTCATAATAACAATACTAATTTTAAATATAAGCTATATTAAAATAGGGTAAGCATAACTTACTTACAATGGGGTTTTAGCTAGGAGTCGGGCTCTGCAGGGGCAGAACTTCGTCGCTGAATCTTTCTAGGAAAGATTCGTGCAGCGCTTCAGTGCTCACCTTACTATACTAAAACTACAGAAAGAGAAGTCGAATCACGAGGGACCGAAATGCCCGGGAGATAAGAAGAGAAAGACTCTTGAATCAAGAGAATGGTGCAAGAAATATGAGAGCCCAAGCCTCTTATTTATAGTAATTGAATTTACAAAAACTACCCTCCATAATTACTTAATGATCTTATAGTTATATAAACGACTAAACACCCCTTCATAATACTATTTTAAATAGATTTAACGATATTTGTACTAAACTAATATCGAAAGTAATCAACACTAGTCTTATAATAACCGCATTGTCGATACCTTTCTAATGATATATACATTTGTATATATATATATATATATATATATATATATATATATATATATATATATATATGTGTGTGTGTGTGTGTACGTATATATGATTTATACTTTATTTTAATACGTAAATATGCTATTATAATTTGTAACTCGTTCATACGAACTCCATTTTTGACGTTCTTTATATCCACGCGTTGGTATTTACGAGTACTACAACTTTCATTTAAACTCCGTCGGCTAATTCTCGACCGATCTTAAATTTAACAGTAAGAGGAGATTATACTGTTAAATGTCCGCGTAAAATTCATAACTTATACATACGGACTCCGTTTTCGTCTGTCTTTTTACCGTTGAGTTCCTATTAATGAGATCTTCAACTCTCATTTAGGTCGCGTAGGCCAAAAACCGCTCGAACTAAATTTCGAGTTTCGGGTCGTGCACTGCTATGCCAAATCTTAGAAAATTCATAATTTCCTCATACGAAGTCAGATTTGGGCGTTTTTTTTGTATGTTCTCGGTTTAACGTATACTACAAATTTTGTTTAGATCACTAAGGCTAAAAAGTCTTCTACCATAAATTCACTATTTACGTCTCCCGGTGTCGTGTCGGTTTTGCCGTAAAACTTCGACGGGCCATAACTTCTTCGTTATAACTCGGATTTCGGCGTTCTTTATATGTATGGAACCCTTGTAACACATACTACAACCTGGTTAAGATTAATCCTTTTTGGCCGCATTGCATCAATATGGATCAAATTCTAAATAATCGTCCATCAAAAACTCATTTTTGATGCTCATCGTTTCTAAATTGACTAGCCCGGATCTGTGCGCGTTACATATTGTTAGTTATTTTATAGTATATATGTTATAGTATGAGATGCTTACGAAAATTATTGACTAATAGGAAAAAGAAAAACAAAAACAAATGAAGTAGAGATAAAAATTAAGATTCTCAAGATAAAGACTCTAGAAGTAGTCAAAGAAAAAAAAGGCAAAAGTGTCAATAAATCCAAATGACAAAGTATCTTTGAGAACAAGAATGAGCCCAAAGAAGTTTTATGATATCGTTAAATCTTTAAACAAAGAACAGAAAAAAGTTGTTAGAGAAATGGGATTGGGATCTTTGCTGAGAATTGCAACCAATGGAATTTCTGGGAAATTGGCACGTTTTATTGTGAATTCATTCAATCCATCAGATATGAAAATGCATCTACCTAATGCAAAGATAGACATAACGCCAGCTCTTGTTCATGATTTGCTTGGAATTCCTCTAGGTGGAAAAGATATATATAACACTGATCAATGTGAAGGAAAAGAATTAATGGATTGGAAGCAACAGTACAATTTCAAGGCTATGAGACCATCGGATGTTGAAGAGAGAATTGATGAATCATCAGATTCAGGGATTATTTTCAAAACAAACTTTCTATTACTATTTGTTAATACCATCTGTGAAGAGAATAAGCCTGGAACTTGTAAAACAACAGTATTGCCACATTTGTTAGGCAAAACACCTATGAGAGAAATTGATTGGTGTGGTTTTATAACCAATTGCTTGAAAATGTCAAAGACGACGTGGGATGAAACCGATAGAGGAAACTACTATTGTGGGTCACTTCTTGTATTATTGGTAAGGAAAATTCTTATAATTAACACTTTTATTTATATTATTATAAGAAAACTAATTAATCATAATTTTGTTTACATAAACAGCTAGCTTATTTGGAGTTTATGAGAAATGATAAGAATGAAAAAAGACAAATACATGCACTACATTTTTGGGATTATGACATGATGGTGAAAAGGGAAAAAGTTGAGTTAAAGAGTGGTGACTTTGGAACTTTCGAATGGAATGATGATGTTATAGAGAATGATGAAGAATCCGACACCGATGAAAATGAAGATATGAAACTCGATGTAAGTTAATAATCTATATAATTAAAAAAAAATTGTGAAGTTGTATTACAGATATATGTTATAAAATTGTAGTTAAGATGAAATTCATAAAGCGATTCACATTGTGAATATAAAAGAGTATTTTAGTACTTTTGTCCAAAAAGAAAAAAAAAGTTGGTTTATATAGTAGTAGTTCATGATACCTCTAATTCCCATGTTCCAGCTTGCATTATGCCAACAAGTCCCACCCCCAACTCTAGCTGAGAAGTTGAGTCACCCTTCTTTTTTATAAAGTTATTGTAATATAATTTCTAAAGTTATTGTAACAAAAAATAGGTGTCAAGTTTGTAAAAAGCTAATAAATATAAGGGTTGCTATCAAACCATTTTTATCCATTTGGTGTAAAGTAATTATAAAGAAAAGGGTATTGAAACAGCAAGGCGTTGACGCCTACAAAATTCCAAATAATTTGCTATATGAGATGCATAATTAGATATAGTGTATGATTAAGTAAAAAATAAAAACAATAATAATAATAAACCTATAATAGTAAATAGTAAATACCTTTCTACAGCTTCATTGCCTTGTGAAGCTGCAAGTTTTGCAAGTTGATAAACTACAGTGAAGTTTCTTTGAGCCATTGCCTCTTTCTCAAAAATAGCATCAGATAGAACAACAGCTGATGCTCCCTCACCAATATATTCACCAACTAAATCTATATAATAAAAAAAATGTTATGTTATGTCATGTCATGTCATATCATGTCATGTCATGTGTAACAAACACAGTATATATAATTATAACCCACCAGTTGTTATTCCTTGAGATGCAATTAAAGGAATATGAGGAAAAGGCTTCTTCAAAGTTGCTATGTATCCAAAACCACCAAGTGCAGAAACAGGGTAGACCTTTAAAGATATACAATCATTATATATTTTGCTTTTTTTTTATTAATTTCAAATGAGTAGATAACATAAAAATGTAATAGAAAGAAACATGAATGTAAAAGCACCTAACCTTCACCATTTTGGCACCAGCATTATATGATGAAAGTATCTGTAAAATAATTTTACGGATAATAATAATATATAACTCTACAAATGCCTTAGTTTTTATTAACAAGAAGCCAAAAAAATTGATTGTATACTTACTTCTGTTGGGGTCATTACACCAGGTATATATAGCAAATCATCATTGTCTTCATCCAGAATACCCTGCAAACAATTTACATTATTAACAGAATATTTAACAATCATAAACAATGTTATATTGTTGTAATAATTTCTGACATGCCTTTACAATTGCAGGACTCATGATGAATTTTGCACCAACTTTTTTTGCATTTTCAGCATCCTCAATATTTAAAACAGTGCCAATCTGGAACATGTTAGAGCATTAAGAATTTAAGATATGTTAAGAATTCATCCTTGACAAAATAGTTCACTAAAAATGATCATACAATTGATGAATATGAAACACTTACCCCTAGAGTTGTGGTTGGAAAATCTTGCACCAGTTGATTTAAAACCTATCAAATAAAAAAATGTGGAAAATTATAAGCTTTCAAGATCAACAACCAGAAATGTATGAAATGCATGTAAATCATACAAGTGGATTTATGTTAAACAACCTCAAAAACACCTGGGGTAGAAACCACAATCTCTAGCTGCAAATCAACAAACATTGCTTCTATGTTAAAACATTAGAATTACATCCAATAAGGCCTTGTTTACTCGTAAATTAAACTAATAATTGTAATTTGTCATTGCATACTTATTCTAGCTTAATCTTGTGAGTTAAAGGAATTGAAGAGTGAAAAGTACAAATGTTACATTAATTCAGTTTTCTTTACTTTCGTTTTGGCTACTTCATCTTATATGCAAGTTATCACAATTGACAGGGGCAATACTCAAGAACACTGTGAGCTACAAGGTGAAATCACCCCAGCAAGTTCAATTGGATGCTAATTACAAAATATGTTTTCATATGTTTTTTGTTTCAGAACTAATAACCTAATAATTCAAGTAAATTATTAATAAGAATATGAAATGCCTCATAAGGGAGCTTTAAATCTGGAACAATGAATTGAGAAGTTAGTTTGTATATGAATCTTAGGTTCAAGTACGAATGTTATCAGTTCGTTTGGGAGCCGAGCTCGGGTGGAACTTTGCAAGAAGAAAACATACACCAATTTCAAATTTTCAGCCCTTAATTCTACTAACAATACGACAGCAGCATACTTACAACTGATATTCCACCTGTAATTGCAGCTTTTGCAGCTTCCAATGCCACATCCGCGCTAAACACCATCAACATACGCATGAATAGATAGAATTACATGATAATTGGAATTATTCATATAGCGAGGAAACAACAATCACCTGAAATCGAAAATTCATTTCACGGGAATTGATTAGAGAGTGTTGGATGATGAGGATGATACCTTTTGGCGCGAAGACAAGCAATGACGCCAGAATTTACTATGTTGCTTAAGGTTGTTGCACTGGTGGAGGTGGATGGCCGAGTATGGAAACAACGGATCGGAAGGAACCGAGTGGTGGGCGTAGGCGGTGGTAGAAAGGTTAAAGAAGAAAGCGAGGAGAATTGGGCAAGTGACATAGTAGTATCCTGGTTCCCTAATAACAGCAGTGGTGTAACTATAACTACTTATGAACGATTGAAGGTGAATTAAGGGGTGTTTGGGATTGCGTGATTTGAACCCATATCATCTTTAGACTTATGGAGTTCCCAAATCAAATTGGAACTTATTTTTTATAAGGAATGGTCCCATATCGGAGTTGGAAGATAAGTGGTAAGTTGGGGAGTAGTTATAAAACGAGATTAAATGGAAGATTAAAGACATGATCCTTCAAAGCAAGTTTTAATGGGAGGTGATGAGTGGTCATTACTCACATTTAAGTACGCGAGATGGGGTGTCTGCCTAAAGCTTTACGACAATTAGGCACCTCAAATCTTATAACCATCTGATCCCTATATTATTATTTTGAGTTTATATAATTTTTAGCCAAAGCTAAATAGTAGAAGCTGGCTTATGAATTTCTTTGTTTATAAGTTGGGCGGGTTTTGTTTATAAAATTACAAAAATATTTTTAAAAGTTTTTGTTTATAAAACTACAATATTTTTTGTGAAAATGTTTTTTGAAGACTTATAGAAAAAAATTCAAAAAGGTTTTGTTCATTCATACCTCCTCTATATGGATGTTTAGCACGATAGTCCAAAAAATAGAACCAAAGAAAATACATCATCTACATTAATAGTCTCATAAAGTTAGTCGAATTAAATAAAAACATATTAATATAAAATTCTTAAAAACTAAAATTGTAAAAAGAAGTTGTCCAATTTGAAAAAATAATAATAAATAACAAAAAAATAAGTTATAAATTTTTTTTGAAAAATTTTGTAAACAATTTTTTAGATGGATAAAGAAGATATGACATTTTTTAGAAAACTGTAATCAAATCTATAAAAATAATATTATAGAAAACTGTAAAAATAATTAAATATAAAACAATTAGGTTGTAGAAAAAATTGGTAAAAAGTTTGTAATAAAAAAGATAGATAAAATGATATATAAGAAAATTCAACCAAATTTATAAAAGAAAGAAAGTATAGACCAAATTTGTATAAAAAAATAAAATAAAAATAAAATTGAGAGGAATTGTAAATAAGGATACCTTTTAAGGACCAAAAATGTAATATTATTTAGTATTGGACACGTGTCTATTAAGAAGAAAACCATAGGTTTTCTTTTATATATATATATATATATATATATATATATATATATATATATATATAGGGCTTAATGAATATATGGCTGTTATGTACCTAAGCTTATATATAGAATCCTCCAAACTATGTAGTTTTGATCAGTTATATCCAAACTAATCATGATATCTCGCTTACTATTCTTCTTTAATCATGTGACTTGCTAAACCAATCGAATTTATATTCTTTTTCTTCATTGTTTCTAAGAACTTAAAGCATTAAAAATCATGAGCATTTAATCAACCTTATTAAATTTTAAATAAAAACTAATACAATAAAAGATAAAAGAAGAACATGCAATAACTCAATCAAGGTTTTTCACAAATAATTGGATATAGTTTTTCAATTGAAGGACAAAATGTTTGAGTTATATTCGTTAAAAATATATTTGTTTTTTACTTTCCCAATAAACTTCAATGATTATTTTTGCAATAAAAAGATTTATAATTGATCTTTTTCATTTCATAATTTAACTCAATTCAATGGTATTATATGAAAGCAAAATTAAGCAAAAATGAAATTGGATTTGTTTTGCTTAAAACTATGTCGTTTAAAAGGTTCTATACCTAAGCTTAGGTACATAACAACATATTCACTTTTCCTATATATATATATATATATATATATATATATATATATATATATATATATAATTTGAATTTACCAAAGGATATGCACTACAACATATTTAATTATTTACGATGATGATCATAAAATCCAATAATTTTGATTATTTATGACAAATCTTCAAAGATATATGCATTGATGTTCATCATAAATAATTCTTATAATTATTTATGATGTTCATCATAACATTATATATGATGTTCATCATAAATAATCAATCAATTGATTGATTATTTATGCCAATATTTGCATGAATAGGGTTTTAGATGAAATAAGAGCGTTGATGAGAAATAAGTCTTAGAATTACCTGCCTTTATTTGGTATCAAAGTTTTGCTAATAAGAGAGAGGGCAGTGTAGACATGAAGGAATTGAAGAAAAATAAAAAATAAAAAGAGGAATGGAAAAAAGAAAGAGAGCAGATAGTGAGATTGAGATTGAGGTGATGATCGAAAACCAATAGTATTTACTAAATTTGGGATGCTGTTTTTGTGACCATTAATTAGTTATCCATCTCCCCACCACCTATCTACATTTTAGTCCGCCCATTTTCTATATACAACAAATGAAATATATCATGGTGATAACTTAACTTATTAGCCGTTTTCTTTCTTATATATATGCAATAAATAAATTGAATATTTGGAACACCGAAGATTTACCTACCTTTTTAAAGTTGCAGCATTCTCATTTTTTTTATTGATAGTAAAAAACTATATGTTACCACTTATATATTGCTTCACTGTACAATAAATTGAGGTTCAAAATTGACTTCTTTGGTTCTATTTGGAACCCATCTATTGCCTAATATCACGAGTATTATAGTATTTTTTTTTAATTTTAAATCCACCCATTATTAAATGGTCGGTAATTAACACCGAGTTATGATAACAAATAATGATAAACACCTTTTTTTTCAACTTTTGAAGTGAGACTCAGAAAAAAATGAGTTAACTAAGATGACACAAAAATTAAATTAAACTGTTTTTCCTCTCAATGACAAAGCCATAAGACATGAAAATAAACATTATTTAAAATTCTGTATATTTTTCCAAGTTTAAATAAACAAACAAGAAAAAAGGTTATTACCCATTTCTTTTTCTGTTGTAATAATATTAGTATGAGATCATCCATCACATAAATTATAAAAGTAAGTAAAAGGAAAGGGAAATAGAAAACGCAATGTCAACCAAACCAACCACCTAGCTGCTTTTCCAGGGCAAGAAGGGGCAAAAAGAGAAAACCCCTCCAGCAGTCAAACTTGGAAAAAAAAAATACAAAATTTACAAATCGGCTTTCCAAGTAAATAGAAAGACAAAGTAAGTGCAGTGCATAATAATAGTATTGTTAGCTGCTGCGTGAAAAATGAAAAATGAAAAATGAAAAATTAAGTTTAGGAATTAGGGTTGAGGTTTGGTCCATGAAGTCTCTGATGTTTTTGAGTTCCCATAATAAACTTGCTTCGATGCTTCATCCCAATATGCCTGCCATATGCACAATCAACAGTCAAAACCACACAGTATAATAATAACTTGTTCTTCTTCAGTTTTTTTATTTTAATTTCATAAACAGTTATATTAATATACTAAATATCATCATCACAACCAAACCTTTACTAACATATGATTAGAAACTGTTTGACCAACATGACTTTATATATATATATATATATATATAGAATATTATATATTATTAAGAATAGGAAGATTTAGCACCTGCCAAGGGGATGGAAGTTGTTTTGTAAGTTGAAGAAGATCAGGTTTTTGGTTTGTATCAACAGTGCCCGTGCCCTTGGCTTCCTTATCTTCAGCTTCCATCGACTTTTTAGCTCTCTTCCTTCTAACTCTCTCTCGCCTAAAAAAAAAAAAAAATTATAACAAAATAGAAAAGAAATAGAATTGTCAAATGAAAACAGGTTATTAGCTTACCAGTCACCACCAAGAGGCTGAAAGTTAGCATTGTCTTTGGCTTCTCCAGTTGCAATCTGCTGTGCACGCCATTGCTGAAACACATTCAACAAATTCAGCAAATCAAATAAATTTATTTTCACCACATTAAAACTATTTAAAAAAACAATCAGCAAACCTCAATCCCTCGTTGCTTTTTCTTCTCTAAAGCTTCTAAAGCATTTTCAGGTTCCTCCTCTTCGTGTAATTCCTCTTTAACAGCTTTCCACTGCAATCATATAAATAATTATATAATATTATGCAAAAAAAATTAATGTCATTAAATAGTATTCAAATTTCACGTTTGTCTAACCTAGGGACATCTTTTTTTTAAAAACCGTTTTACCACTCAAGTTCCACTTATATGAAAAAGTAAAAAGGCAACTACTTTTCCCTTTTTTAGGGTGTTAGAACAACTTCAACAAATAGTAACCAACTTTCAGTTTTCTTCCACCAGGCAGCCTCAAATTTTTTATACGACTTTAACCAGTAATCAATAAAACTAAAAATTCTTTAAATAAGGATAATGTAATAAATATAATTATGCTTTTTTAATGAAAACAACAAGGTTTTCTGCAAAGTCTTTGCTACTACTTAAAATTATTAAATATAATATCTGTTTGTAATTGTATGATACAATTAATAAAGAATGACATTTCTAGATCTTATATATTAGAAAAATAGAAAAAAGGAAGTTTTATATGTAATTGATACGAAATTTTATTTTACTAGATTTATAAAACTCGTAAGATATATTTAACATTTGATTGCTACTAAATCTTATATGTTTTTTTATAAAACACATAAAAAATCAAAAAATAAAAATGATGTAAGTAAGCGTGTGGTAGAATGAGGTAGCAGATAAAGCATGAGTTTCTTGTTAAAAAAAAAAAAAAAAAAAAAAAAAAAAAAAAAGTTTTGAGGTAGCTACCTTTACCTTTAGGTAAGAAGAAACCAAAAACTTGGTTACTATTTAGTGACATTAAAATATAGTTTACCTTATCCACCAAACCTGAAACTTTCTTATTGGATCTTAAACCAGGGACTGCAGCAACCGTTCGTTTTTTATTTCGCACAACTGTAAAGTTGAAAACAAAATCATCATCTACTTAATAAACAAGACAGAAACCAGAAAAAGTTAATATTGTTAGATGAATCATTTCATCTATATAATTCTACATTTACCTACCTTTAGGTTGAACCTTAGGAACTGATGGTTCTGTTGGAGCAGATACAGCAGAAGTTGCTGGATCACTGCCAATCACTGGCTGAATTGGTACAGACCCTTCTTGTATGGTGTAATATGCCACATGTTCTCCAGGGTCAGTGCCACCTCCACCTGGATATGGGGGGTTAGCCACTGGTGCATAATAAAGGGTTGTGAGGGGTGCTCCATTCGCATCTACATAATAATCATGATTTGCCACAACTTGTTGACCATAGTATTCAAAAGTGGGACCGGGACCCCCATATGCAAAATGTGCATATTGTTCCCCTTCTCCTCCGTATGAGTAAGCTTGTGGTGTAGGGAATGTGGCTTCGGGTTGTTCATCTGGCGGTGGTGGAGGTAACGGTTCATCATCCGGTGGTGGAGGCGGGACCCATTCGTCATTCGGTGGTGGTGGAATCTCAGATTCTTCTTCAGATTGGGGCCTGTTTTGGACGACTGGTTCATCTTCAACCTCCATTTCAACATCCATGTCGTCATCTGTATCTGCTTGAGGAATTGCATTTTCATTTTCATTTTCATTTTCTTCTTCTTTTTCACTTGCAGTTGCTTCATTCATGTTCTCTTCTACCTTCTTTTCTGCCTCATTTGGTGATTGAGAATGTTCTAGAATCTCATTGTTGATGGCGGATTCTAGTTTTCTCAAATGATTTTCAGAATGAAGCCAAAAAGGAAGCAATGATGATCCGTAAGGTACTAATGACTTAATGTCTGCAAGCCTTACATCAAGTTCAATCATCAACTTTGATATCTCTTCCCTTTCCCCTTCCAAGGATTTTAATCTCTCCGATAAACTTTCACCAAGTTGCAAAAGACGTAAAGAATCAGTATGGTGGGCTTCCCCGTTATTCAAACCATCTATTGCATTGACATAATTACCCTCGGCCACATCATTTGACATGGTCATGATATCTGTATGGTTTTCATTCTGCACTTGTAATTCTGGCCTACAACTGTCATTGTCAGTGGCCTCAAAAACCAAAGATTTTGTGGGCCCATCATTTGGTTGTGTATCATCAGAAGTTACATTCATCTCTTCAACTTCTGTAACAGATTGAGGATCATAGGCTGGTTCATTCCCTTGAACCAGGTCAACAGGGACTTCCCAAGAAGTTTGACCAGTCGCAATGTTCCAGTAATAATATGAATTACTCTCCTCATGCAACACCATTTTCCATCCTGAATCCGTATTTTCTGTTTGTGTGTCGGATGTCCATGACACAGTTGTCTGCTCCACTTCATCCATGTCTTTGTGTGATGGCAAAACCATATCATCTTCAACAACACCATTTTCTTCCACATCCAATGAAGAAGAGTGCTCTTTGTTCTCTTGATCAGGTTTTTCAGAAGTAATATTTTCATCTTTATCTACTTCTGTACCCTCATGACTGTCTGCCTTTACCTGCCATAAGATAAGCATGATTGGTACTTAAATATATTTACCACAACCAATTGAAAACTAGACATTCCAAAACACACCTGTTCATCAAGCTCGGCTGGTGAATTCTCTCTAGTATCATGGCTGATTTCTTTACCAGATTCTTCCTCCAATTCCTCATCGCTATATTGTCCAAGCAACAAAAGAGGATTTTCTGGCTTTTGACCTGAAAAAAAAAAAGATGCTAATATGTCAAACATCAGAACAACAAAAATATGTGGGAGTGTGACTGTGGTTAGTTACAACTAATCTTCTAATAGATACTTCATATTGGCCTAAACTAAGAACAAAAACAAGTGTGAAAAAGATGTGATTAATTTTGGCGAATGAACTTTGTAATTGCCACCTGCAACATTGAAAATGAGTTAGTAATTTAGAATAAAAACAAAAAGGTAAGAAACATACGAACCACAAGTCTTGTTGAAATGTCGTAGTAACATGTGAGGAATTTCAATCAAAGAAACACTGTGGCAAAGTTGAACAGGCTCAGATGACCAATTGAGTTCCCAATACCACAGCCACCTAACATTCTGAAAGGAATATCTTGGGAGAGCAAACATGGCTTGCTTAAAGTAAACATCAACCAATACAATGACGCCCTCTACAAAGATCAGTCCGTGGAGAAAAATTGATGGAACCCACCTGAAGAAGATGGTGAATTGGGTGAACCAGCATGATTTTTTGAATTGCCGCCACCTTCAACGTCTTCTTTGTTGGACGAATCACCAAAATCTCCTATAAAAATCAGTAAAGACAATGAAAATTAAAGCCAACTTTGATATAAACAGGCCCTGGCATTAAATCATCAATCTTTTAAGCTTAAATTTTCATGATCTTTGATGAATCTAAATTTGAATTTCCAAACAAGATTGGGGCGGGAGCTAAAACCGTCGGAATATATTCGAATAAATCGCTAACTCGGTCTCAAAGATTAGCTCCAATTGCATAACAATAAGAAATTAACTAATCGTCTTCGCAATCTCAACAACTAAATTGTACGCTACGTCATTTAACTATATAGATAATCAACTACAGAAATCGAAATATTCAAACAGGTAGAAGGAGCATACGACACGATTACCAGAGGGTTCCGCTATAAGATCGAGTTTTACTCTTCTATTAACTGCAGTCTTCGCCGCCAGTCTACGCTCCTTTCTCTTTCCCATGAAGAATTAAAAAGTTCCACTGGCAAACTTTCTGAATATGATGAAATCTCGTTGTCCAATTTTAACCTAGGGCTAGTTTGTTCGCAGAGGAGATCGTGTACTTTATCAAGTGCATAAGACGATACTCTCTGTTTTCTTTGCGTTGGCTTATATTTATAGTCCATACACTATAAAGATTTCTCTTTTGGCTTTTATTGGAGTTTCTATGGGCTATCGAAGCCCCAAGGCCCAAAGAGATATTGGTCTTAACGTCATTTGGCCCATAAAATAGTGTACACCACTACACCGGCTTATATTATTGCTATTTTATTGTTAAAAAGTTTATTAAGGCCTTGTTTGGTTTTAAGAGGTTAAGAGGGTGTTTGGGATTGTTTTAAAAACAATTTTTCAAAAGGTCAAAAATATTGAAAAGCTGTTTGGAAAGTAAAAAAGATCTTTTGAAAACAATTTTTCGCTAAAGGAAAAATAAGGTAATTCAAAAAGTCACAAAATCTGACTTTTGGAACTTTTGTCTTTTCAAAAGCAACTTTTGCATTTTTTACATCCAAACACATTTTAATCATTTACTTTTGGAAAAAAAAAATTTACAAAAAGTTCTTTTCTAAAAAGACTTTAAGGCTAGAAAAGATATCTCAAACACCCCCTGAATATATACAATCTACCGATTATATTTACCGATATCTTAAAAGAAGAGGGGACCTAAATGGCAAGAAGAATATTGTTTTTAAAGTCTGCACTATTAAAATAACCGAAATTTAAATAAACTTGTTTCTTAAATTTAAATAATTTTAATTTTTACAACTTAAATATAATTCATACAGCAAGACTAATAAATTTTTTTGAAAACAATCATTGCATATTTTGCATAACTTAACGTCGTATTAATTTGAGTAATTGCTTATATCTATTTAGATTTATTTGATTATTTATATATTTTTGTATATTTCATATACAATAATTTTTCTCGATACATAATAAATTATGTTTTAAAATATTCTATTTTATAATTTTATAAAGTGTAATTATTATGTATAGAGAAAAAATTTTGTGTACCAACATGTCCATTTGTCTAAAAGCCCACATTAATCATTGTCCTAAAAAAAACACAAAAAAATATTGGAAACAAATGTCAATGTTACACTTTATGACACCATAACCAAAGTTGAAACTTAGAACAACCAGAAAATTGTATTTTATTTTTTATTTTCTAATACGATATATAACTTGCCAATAATATTAGTACAAAAAATAACTTCACAGAGAAAGGTCTTTTAACTACATAAGCAAAAACCTCATCACATTTATTATCCATGACAAAGAAAAAGAAACAACTTAAGCATTTGTCACCAAAAAGTTGTCTTCTTTCTTACAAAACAACATATCACGAATTGATACAGTTTTAGGAAATAGTCAAAAGAAAAAGAAATAAAACAAAGTTTATTGAAAGAAAACATACGCATGTGTTGCTATGTGACACGTAAAAGAAATAAAACAAAGTATGATTGATTAGTAAATAATTCTCTATTGTTGATTGTCTACTTTGCTAACTTTTTTTTTTGAAACGGCAAATATACTAAACTACACCTAAATTATTTCATCTATGTCCATTGTTGTACTTGAACCCTCAACCACACGGAGGGAGGACAACACCGGACACCGCTAAGCTAGAAGCCCTTTGGTCTAACTTCTTCATTAATTTGCTAACTTCTTCATTGATTGCATTAAGGACTGATGTTTGTTTGTAAACGTTCCAATGTTAATGTGAATAACAAATTTACCTTCAATTTGCTATAGAGAACTCCATGTTTTATATCAAGGAGGGAGTGTGTATCGGTCACACTCCCGGCTGGCGGCGGAAAAGTCGGACGGTGCGAACGTGGGGAAGATTGGGTCGAGGCATACAAATTATCTTCCTTCTTAACACAACTATCATCATCTTCCTTTACACGACTATCCTCGTTCTCACTCATCTCCCTGAGAATACATGTGATTTTGAAAACGTCAACATAATGTTGATGAGTGCACAGGTTTTCAGAGTTTCAGCTTTTATTTGGTTGTATTAGCTTAAGAATCTTTTTTCTTTCGGAAAAATTTTTCCTAAAGTATTTTATCAACCCTAACTTACTACCTTTTAGGATATCTAACCATCCTATCTTATATTTTACTATAATGTATTTTATTTATCCTAATTTACTATCTTTGTAGGATATCTAACGATCATAACGTATTTTTATCTACCATTATAAGGTGTCCCTAATAGTAGTAATACCCTAAGGTGATCTAATGTATTAACATGAGCCCCCATAATCGACGTCGTTTGACTAAAATTTGTGCCCCGCCATGACGCTTCATCTGTAACGCCTGGTTTCCTGGTATGCATTTAACTCATTTGTTTATTTATTTTGCAAGAGGAACTCGACGAGTTTGTGGCCCTAACTCGTCGAGTAGAGGGCTAATTATGCGCGGGGTTTGAGCTATCTACTCGACGAGTCAAGAGCCCTTGACTCGACGAGTAGATTAGCCAGAGTGAAACCCTAATTTCGGGGTTTTGCACCCTATTTAAGCTCTTTAACCCCCACCCATTGGCCTCATTTCTAGCCTCCAAGCCCTAAACCCTAATCCACAAAGCCCTAGAGCATTTTGTGAGTGTGTAAGCCATTCTTGAGTGATTTTGTGTGTTCTTGAAGCTAGAAGAAGAAGAAGGAGCTAGAAGGTTCAAGGAGAAGATAGTAGATCCAGGGATTTCCTTCCATCCTCATCACTTTCTGGTAATCAAGTCTCTAACTTGATCATTCATTCATTAGATCTACTTACTTCCATTCTTATGAGGGTTTTAGTTCAAGAACCTTGATCTTTGGGATTTGGACGTCCCAATTGACTTACATTTCAGATATGGGATCTAGAAGGGGTTCCATGGCATAAAGGTGCAAACTTTATGACCATGGAAGCCCCATGCAAGCTTAAAAGCGTTATTATGGTCTTTTTAGCCCTAAAAGGCCATACATGGAAGGAAGCTTGGAACTTTACGTGTCCAACTGATGTCTAAGGCCTAGATCTATTATAGTGTGCTTTGGTTTAGAATATTATGGCTTGTGGTCCAAGATCTAAGTTCTAGAGAGTTAGGGTTTGAGCCAAACCCATTAAGAAAGACTAAAAACGGGTAAAGTTGGAAACTTTACCCCTTAAGAGTGTATTCCCAGTGTGTAGGTGAAGTATGGAGTTTAGATCTTAAGGGTAGGAGCTTAATCCTTTGAGATGGCTCAATCAGACAGAGGAACTCGGGGAGTCCATAGAGGGACTCGACGAGTTGAGTTAGTTTGTCCCTTTTTAGCTTAAGGTAGAACTCGAGTACTCGACGAGTCGGTGAAAGGACTCGACGAGTTAAATCGGTAGATCGTGACTGTGAGTAGCCTGGGAACTCGACGAGTCAAGGGAGAGACTCGACGAGTTAGATCGTGATTTCAGGTTCTAGGACTCGATGAGTTGATGGAGCAACTCGACGAGTTGGGTCAACCAGAAGGTTGACTTTGACCAGGGGTAAAATGGTCATTTTACCCTAAGAAGGATTATCAGATTTTGATTAAGTGTTATTATGAAATTGATAGTCGGGGAGTCGTCGGAGCAGCAGTCAGAGATTCCTCACACGAGATTTCACAGCTAGCATACGAGGTGAGTTTCCTTCAGTAGGAACTGGTCTACGGCACCAAGGTCGGCCCGTATATGTGATACGTTAGTAGTTGAGTGTGGGCGGGGCCCGAATCTCATAGTAGCCGAGTGTGGACGAGGCCCGAATTTCGTAGTATTATTTGAGTATAGATATGTGACTGCTTGATAGGAATAGATATACTTGTTGTATGTGTGATACTTGTATGCATGTTAGACAGCGGAGTGTGGGCGGGGCCCGAATCTCCTAGACAGTGGAGCGTGGGCGGGGCCCGAATCTCCTAGACAGCGGAGTGTGGGCGGGGCCCGAATTGTTGGGTTTTAGTATACTACAACATCCTATGGTGCACATACAACCCTAAATACCTTAGATCTATGTTTTCTCTATTATACATGCAAATATGAAGTTTCCAAGATATTACCCTATACTAGCATACAAATATCATATACTTGGGTAATAAAAGAGATAGAATACATACCTTTTTATGTAACTTGTCTTCATGAAGCTTGAGTGCCTAGTGCCCCAAGTGTGACACCTCAAATGGTTCACACAACACCATGAACACTTGGAATAACCTTGAGAATAAGGATACTTTGGTTCTCTCTAGTGAAATCGGCCTTGCCCTTTAGTGTACACACACTAGTGCCAATTTCACCAACCAAGGACATCTTTATATAGTGTGGAGATTAGGGTTAAACCCTAATACCCATGACCTTTCATTTCATATGATCCATGGGTTAAACACTTCATGGACTATCCATGAAAGCTTAGCCCAACCTAAATGAACTTGGCCCATCACACACATATATCTTAGAGTCCATATTTAATTAGTTCCTTTTGATCACTTAATTAATTATAAATTAATTCTTGATCAATACTAATTAAATAATATGATTATATATTAATATATTAGAACTTATAATATATTAATATAAATCACTAGTATCCTTTTTCCTCATCTTGTCTATCCAATTGTCCCGATGCCATGCAACCCAAATGGACCATGTCGGGTCGGGTCAAGTCTTACTAATTATAGTTATGGACTTAGACATTAATCCAACAGTCTCCCACTTAGATAAGTCTAAAACTATTATTGAGTATGACTTCAAACCCCGACTAGCAATCGTAGCTCTCAAAAGCTTTTGTCGAACTCTGACCTTGCCGATGAACTCTGACCTTTGTCAATGACTTGTCCATTAGATAAGGGATCATATATTCCTCCATTCTAGATATCATATGGACTGAGACATAGATTATAAATCATTCTATATGTCCATTTGTTGTTTCCCGATTTCCGATTCATGACGACTGACTGATTGAACAGATCAAATCAGTCCTGGCTTGGCCAAGCACTCACATGTGTCATCATTAAATCATCGAGGGGCCCACAGATATCGCTTTTATCCCGAAGGTAAAAGGAATGGATAAACTTCGACTCATAAGGCTTGTTCTACTACTTGTTGA